AAGAGGCTAACACAGTACTAGTCGAGGGATAGAGCATTAATTAATGTTCATATAAAGAAGAGAGAGGGAAAGGTAGGAAGAGAGCTAGCTTTAGTAAACTTTAGAGTTCGGTTAAGTAATAATTAGTTGCGCTGTTAGAAGCAATAAGTGAGAGTTTAGCATGTAAATCTGCTCCTATAGCATAACAAGAGCTTGATTTTAAGCAGCACCTATAGTTAGATGTTAGTCATATGCTTATTTGCTTAGTCGTGTGCTTATTTACTTAGTCGTATGCTTGTAGGGGAGAGTCTATACTACGAACTTTATCCTCTTCCTTTTACACACTTACTATTCTTATCTTGCGCGTCTTACCTTATTAATACCCTAAATACGACGTCGCTCTCGTTCACTCTTACCTTATTGCCTATAGACATTAAGTATAATAACGCCTTCCTTTCTCGCTTCGCTCTCGTAGGTGCTAACTCCCGCTTTAGACAATATGGCCGACTAACTCCGAACTACCATTTAAGGCATTTATAATGTAGCCGATGCCCTCGACTATAATTCCTTAAGCTCTAACACCGTTAAGCTCCTTACTTAACTCCGCGACGCAGTCGACCGCTTTGTTAAAGACTTAAGCCCTTCGGCCGCCTAGAAGAATCCGCTTTCGATATGTCCCTTTAACGTATCCTTCTCTACTAGCAAATCTAGAGACACCTACTACAACATAAAGCTAGATAGCGATCTACTAGCCGGCACTAGTTAGGAGGAGTAGGTTACCTACATCGAGAAAGAGAAGAACTTAAATAAGACCCTACTCGAATAGAGGCAGTATAGCGACGGTAAGAAGAGCGGGCCTACTATGTGCATTATATGTGCAGAGATGGAAAATAATACTGTAGATGAATAGCATGCTACTACAGTTGTTACATTCTCTTTATAATTTTAGGTCTTCGACTTAGAATTCGACAGCGTAGGAGGCAGTGTCTCGGTTTAAAAGAATAGTAATAAGAGCGTCTAGGCCCCTTAACTATAAGGTGTTCGCATAATTCGGGGCCTCGCTACGGCGGGTCTAAACGACTATAAATACTAAGAGGGTCGGTATGCGATTAAGCTAGACCGCTAGTCCTAGTTAATCGCTAGCCCTCGTAGCAGCCTAGTAGGTAACGTAAAGTGCATCTCCTCGGCTGTTAAAGCACTTGCTATAGCTATCTTAACATACATAATCGGGGATTTCGAGGATAAAGCCGAGTTCGGGGCCGCCTAGGCTAAAATAGATAGGGGTATAGGCATAAGCGATTTTGTCGAGATGCGGAAATGAGCTAGTTATATGTAGTCTATATAGCTCGGAGATGGCGGACGAGCGCGTAAAAGTACGTAGCTATAAGGATTAGAGATGGCGGAAGAGTGCGTAAAAGTACGTAGCTAGGTCTTACAACAATTTATAGGAG